CCTCCCAGAACCTCTCAAAACCTGTCAGAACCTACCAGAACCTCTCAGAATCTCCAAGAACCTTTCAGCATCTCTCAGAACCTCGCAGAATCTCTAAAAACCTTTCAGAAGTTCTCAGAAACTCTCAGAACCTTACAGAAGCTCTCAGAAGATGTTAGAAGCTCTCAGAACCTCACAGAAGCTCTGAGAACCTTTCAGAAGCTCTCAAAACCTTTCAGAAGCTCTCAGAACCTCACAGAAGCTCTCAGAACCTTTCAGAGGTTCTCAGAACCTCTCAGAGGCTCCCAGAACCTCTCACAAAACCTCTCACAAGCTCTGATCATCTCTCACAGAACCTCTCAAGCTCTCGGGACCTCTCACGGAACCTCTTACAGGCTCTCAGAACCTCTCGCAGAACCTCTCAGAGGCTCCAAAGTAGTAAAAGCCGCGGCTCCAGGTTAACTGGCCAAGGGAGGGAGATTTCCTCGGATGGGCCAACAAAGAACATTTTGAGGCTGCTTTCAGGTGATGACGATGATGATGCATATAATGATGGATACCTCCTCCTCCGTGAACCGCCAGCCCCCCCAAAAAAGGGAGGGCCGCTCGGGCGTTTATACAATGCGCCAAAATTGAAACATTCCTGCAGGCCTGAGCTGACAGCCCGCAGGAATTGAGGCGCAGCCCCATCCCGCCTCCCGCACTGCGGGTGCGCCAGCGCGGGGGGGCGGCGGGCGGCGGCGGCGCCAGCGCGCACTTGGTGGCTGTCCTCCCCCGCCACACCATAACGATGATGATGATGATGATGATGATGATGACGATGATGATGATGACGATGACGATGGTGATGATGAAGATGGCAATGAGCAGCTGCTTCTCGAAGACGCCTCCTGGGGTCTTCCTGGGGCCGGCGGCGGGGCGCCAGACCGCAGGGGAGGCCACTGGCCGCGTGCCCCCTGGGTAGGAGAAAGGAACCCCAAGGGTCCCCAGGGGGGCGACGGCCGGACGACGGCCTAAGGAGGAGCAGGAGGGGGGCGACGGCCGGACGACGACGAACGACGACGACGACGACGACGACGACGACGACGGACGACGACGCGACGAACGACAACGATGACGATGACGACGACGACGACGACGACGGACGACGACGATGACGACGACGACGATGACGGCCACGACGACGACGCGCCAGGCCGCCCGCCAGGCAGTCGGACCTCGGACCGTTTTTTCTGCCGACTTTCTGGAAGGCATGGCTGCTTCAGCCTCCACTGCCACTGGCCCTGGCCAGCCACCCACCACCTGTCGCGGCGAGCCAGGGGCGCCTGGCCGCCGCCACGGGAGGAGGAGGAAGAGGATGAGGAGAGGGGGGAGGGAGGAAGAGAGGGAAGAGGGCCGACCACTGCCCCCACGGGTCCCCTTGGCGAAGGGGGAGGGGGGCCAACTCAGGCGCCCGTGGGTCTTTCCGCCAGGAGGGCCGAGGAGTCCGAGGAGGGAGGCGGAGAGGAGGAGGAGGAGGAGGCGGAGGAGGAGGAGAACGCGGAGGAGGAGGAGGAGGAGGAGGAGCAGCAGCAGCAGCAGCAACAGGTGACCGGTGGGAGGACGAAAATGCAACACCCCCTGGACCCTGGACCTCTCCCGGGGCGCATTCTGACCAGAATTTCGAAGCCAATCCAGCCGCGGGCCGTGGCAAGAAAGCAAAAACGGCGGCTTGGCGGGATAGCGGTGTCGGCACTTGAATCCCCCCTGAGCACTGGGCTGTCATAATTGGAAGAGGAGGGATAGTGATGGTGAGTGGCTGGCCGCTGTGCGCTGGCCCGGCCGCGGCCAGCCAGCAAAAAAAAGGGGGCTCCCAGGGGTGTCGGCCGAGAGCCGGGCCAACACCCAAAAAGTGACACAGTGCCCGGGGCCCGGGGCCCGGGCTCGCATGGACTCGAACGGGGAGGAGGGCAGGGGGGAGGTGGAAGAAGGGGTGCGGTGCGGGGGGGAGGCGGGAGGGGGAGTGGGAGGGAGAGAGAAAGGGATGGGGGAGGGAGGACGGGCCCGGGGGCGACGGGGATGGGTGGGGGAGGAGAGGGGGGAGGGGGAGACTCTGATGGGATGGGGGCGTGGTGGTGGTGGAGGGAGTCCGAGTCCGGCCCTGGCACTCGGGCTCGAAGGCCTGGCGACAGCAGGCCTGCAACTCCACTGTCAGGTGATCGCGGAAGGGGGGTTCCAGAAGGGTAGGGGAGTGATAGAGGTCTGCATGGAAGGGCCCCTTGAGAGGCCCAAGAGGGCCCTGCAGTTCCCCAGGCCTCAGAGGCCCACCTAAGGCCCATCTAACACCTGAACCAACCCTGGATAGCAAACCTGCGACCCCTCTAGAGCCTCACCCCTCAGCGATCACCTGATGATCTGATTCCCACCCATTGTTTCTCCGTGCCTCCAAGCCCCCTCTTCCCCACAGTCATCCC